AAAAAAGAATCGAGGAAACTGCCGTGAGTTTCTTAAACAGCCAGTCAACGTGTTTGCATGTATAGAAGCGCACTGTTAGAAAATACTGGCCTTAAAAGTTCATGTTTTTTGCAATACCCTCTAAGAAAGTTGCTTTTTAAGACATCCCATCGTGCGTAATAATTCTCGGAAAAGGCAGAGAAAACAGAGTTACATTCTGGCAACCAATCGCCGCACAAAACCAATTTTCTTTGCTCAGCTCCAAAGACCGATATTTCACACTCCAAATCTCACGTGCCCCGCGGAACCCATTTGGACTATGCATTGCGTTGCCACGACGACCAAATGTAACAGTCTGTTGGCCGCACGTCGCGTCCACAAACGTGCGACGTTAACAAATCCAAGCAAATCAAGACCCGCGCGGCGAGTGTGTTCGGCCAGCCCCTCCCACTCGGCAACACTAGGCGGCGCGCGCGACGCAGGCCTCCGTGTACCTCCCGGGGGGCGGTGAGGCGCGTCCGCCGCGGGCGTCACGCCGTCCAGACACGGATCGCCTCGGACGGAGCACGGACCGGCCGGCGGCCCCACACTGCTGCTGTGCCAGCCGCGGGCGTGACCGCGGCAGGCGCGCGCCGACCTAGCCACAGGTGGCGGCCGCCCGGTGGCCAGACGCCGAACTACAGCCGACCGGCGATGGCTTCGATGGCTGAGTCTTTAGTTCCGTGCAGAATTTGCGTGCTCGGGGCAGTCGATCTGTCATCTGGCAATGGAATCGACGAGAGCTGCTGGCAGGTGGCCCGAGGCCTGCGTCCAGGCCATTGATTAGCTCTGGGCCTTTACATGACTGTGAAGCGAGCAATGCCCACCTTATAGGCATCGAAACCTGCTGTGAATGATCAAACGAGCTCACTAGACCAAAACAAATAGCATTCGTATTAGAAACTTGTGCCTACATGCTTTGCCAAGTGTTAAAGACAATAAGACACACCCTGTGACGAGAAAAAAGACACGTCAGAAAGCTCTGACGCCCGAAAGTAAGTAAATCCTTGCAATTCATGTTTTTTTGCATGCTTACATAGGCTTGAAAGTCGGCCTTCCCCCAAATGCATGCCGTCATAGACAAATGGTGTCAGGAACCCAGCCACACTGACAGCTGCTGTCCCGGCCATTCAGTTGCCCAGGTGTACGCCTGGCTCTAGCCTCTTTCAGCAGGGTCCTTAATTAATCCACTGCCCGAAGCTAGCAGACGTGTGTGTGCGGAGCACGGAACGGACACGCCTCTCATTGGCGGCAGGCGTCATTTGGCACCGTTTGTAAAGACCTTCGTGCGCATGTCATCGGCACAGGCCTCTGAGAACACTCTCACACGATGCACACCGTATCCATGGTAACGAGGATCTTCCAGACTGCACGGGCTGTCGATAATCCGCGTATCTTGCGCTGCAGCATGCATGACAAATCAGACAGAAGTTCGGCGGATAATGCAGCATTATCCCCCGTGCGTCTTTGTGCGACGAGCCATCACAATCACGAGCCATGTGTCAACCACATCAAACGCGAATCGTGTGCCGAATACATCACCGTGAGGGTAATGTTGGACACCGTATTGTGTTTCAGCTTGAGCAAGATTAAAAGCCTACCCATGGATCAAACTTTCCTAAGCCGCGAAAATGTTTTTGTGTCATAAGATGAGTCACATCTTGACTTCCAAAACCAACACGCAAGACTTGGTTGGCTATCACTCATATGTAAGGCAGAAGGCCTTGCATAAGGCTTGTAAGGCCTCTCAAATTGTAATTCAACTGTCTCTTCATCGGCCCCATAACATCACACCATAAAAGTTGGTGTTGCATTATAATTGAATGCTGGAGGCTCCGTTTCTCGCATTCCGAATGCGGCTCCATCCAGCGCTATTTGGTAACGATCACCGCGGCGTCGCTATCGGTTACGATCGGTCAGTTGAGCCAGAGCCGTTTTGTGACGAAAACACCACTGGCCTGACCTACCATGCACAGTCAAGCGATCTCCTGCTGGGCCAATAGCATGATTGCGGGCTTTGAGCGCGAATCCAGTTTCTCACAACATAATGCAGGAATTTGGGCAGGGGTTCAGGTTATGACGAAAGTTTAACTGCAAATAGAATACCCTAAGAACTGCACCAGAGCTCAGCATGTGAATGCATTTAAAACATATAAAGCCACAAAAATTACAAGAAAACCAAGACAAAAGGTCAAAACATGAGCACATAAGAATATTCTGGTCCAGCAAACACGGCCGCCTCTCGCCAAGTTGAAGGGCCACGTGCGAGTCAGCTCGTCCGCTACGGTAGCCATTCAGCCAAGACCAATCTGGTAGCAACTCTGACTTCATAAAGATGTACCATGACGTAATTAAACGATGACGCATTGACGGACACATTTATCAGATTGAGAAATTTTGTTGTCCATTTTTTTGGTGTCCAGGTTTTTACCCTCAAAAGCAAACCGGTACTTACAAGTGAGCTTATTTCACTATATCTGACGCTTGCCTAGGCATCTTTGAATATGGGGCATGTCCTTTAAATGTGACACACACAGCTTACTGGAGTTGCTCCGTCTGGTCCTTAGGTTAATATGTAGAAATGAGTGGCAACGAATACACTTGGCTGGGCATTACCATCAGATCTCATAACAACAACTGATTGCTGAACAAAACTGAACACATTGCCCAGTATTTGATCCTAGCAGTCCGCTAATAATAATCGGAAAGTGCCGTCCATGGCTGCCATGACCAGATCAAATAGTAGATCCTGATTCGATCCGGATGCGGCAAAATCGGCGTGCATGAGGGGGTAGACACAGTTCAGTGTCGTCACTGAGCCTGCAGCGGGCATGGTCGGATGACTCCAGTCCGTGCGCAGTCGTCCAGGTAAAACCACGCGCCGCGCTCGGTGACGTTGCTGTTCCGGCGGCACCCCGGAACGCGCTGCGACCCCCAGGCCGGCTGCGCCGACGGCGGCCGGCCGGCGCTGATTACAGGCAGGCTGCCATGTCGCCGGTGGTCACGCAGCAGCCGTCGGTGGCGCCCTCGGCCCGCCACGCCGCGGCTAATCTGGCTAACGGCCGGCGGCGGCGGTGACGCCCCAGGGCGAGGGGCTCTGACAGACAGCACGAGAGGGGCGGGGGGGGGGGGGGGCACCGCGTGACAGTGGCAGCCAGTGGAGGACGGGGAAAGGGAGGAGCGGGGACACCACCTGGCGAGGAGCACATCGGCAGGAGCTGGGGAAGGAGGAGCCGAATACAGCGTTCCGAAGCGTGTCAAGGACCTGGGAAGTGAGGCATCTTCCTGCGCCAGGGGAAAGAGGCGGGCCGGTTCTCATGTATTATGGAAAGGATGGGCCCACTGGGATGTCCACTTCCCCGGTCATGCCAGCTAAGAGCGGCTGGTAGTCGACTGGACGGCAGAGCTCGGAGCCAGACTGAAGGCTACGGTAGGGAACAGGGAGTGGCTGAGCCGGCGGCCACACACGCCACCTGTCAGCTCCAGTCGTGGACGGCTGGCCGGGCTCACGCTGCAGCGATGCCTCTGCCGGCCACACCGCGCTCCATTAGCCACGGGGCCATCAAAGCCGAGTCGTGCCTCTCGGCAGGGCAGGTAGGGCGAGCTCGTCTGTCAGTGTCCCGCGGCTGTGACCGATGCGTCAGCCGGCGCTGCAGGGCGCCCCTGCAGGCCCCTCTGTGCCGGGGTGCGTGCGGCGCAGGCGTCACTGTCGGAGGGTGACGCACTGCAGCGGAGTGGCGCACTCCCAGTGCACGTGTCACGCCAGTACCGGCGGACGCGGCCCCCCGCGAAGGAAATCTGACGAGGTTTGTTGAGAAGAATGAAGCTGAAGCTTGTATGTACGCGACCGCGCGCAATGTTGCGCTGCACGGGCAGTCGCCCGGCACATCCAATATGAATTGTTTCGGGAGGAGCGACGCTCGTGTCATCCCTTGTCCATAAAGCCTCAGTTTACCGTGAGTGACCAGTTGGAAGAGTATACGGCGCGTAATCAGCCCGCAATGTTGCCGTCTTTTTCATCTGGCAAGATTTTGAAAACCATTCGAGAGAACGATCCCGGCCATTCTCTCCCAAACGCTTGAAGAAAACGGCCAGCATTTGAACTCCTCTCATTGCAAATGACAGGTTCAAATGTGTTTTTTAAAGGCGCGCTCAGAGAAGAAATATTGAGATAACAACCAATTTTATAGCGTCGCGTGCATATTTAGTTGACAAAGTGATGTGTGGTATATCTTTCCAGTAAACAGCCGTGGGGCCATTGCCATATTCTCAGAAAGTTTGGGCTTAATCCTCTGCCTACCTAGTTTCCGTGCCTCTGTAAGACGAGCAATCCGATAGCAATGAGCACATCATCCCAGCAGATACTGAGCTAGACGTAAAACTTGGTATAGCTGCCATCCATTATGCCTGATACCGTCCCGTTCATATCCATACACGTCTTGTAAATCCATTCGCCTGGCGTCAACTGCATGCAGTTCTGCTACTTTTGTATACGGTATCCGTTGCCCCACATGCATTTCACTGTTGAAAGTGTAGTTTTAAAAATCCGGCATGATCCGAGAAACGTGGGCATCACATTCGCTCAACAGCCCGGGGCCCGCAATGACATGCCTTCCAAAAACCTTTCCTGTAGTCGCCTCATAGTGATGAAGGGAACTCAAATGCTGACGGGCCATGATGAATAGATTTTTAGGGAAAGTCACAAGGCTTCGAAACACTAGCTCTGAAAGTTTGGAATGCATTTGCAAAAAAACATGTCGGAGGGGAATCAAATGACGACTGCATGAAGGAGTCGCGAGTGACAACCGGCCACAGCCTGGTTGTAACCAGTTCAAACTACGCCGTGGCTCAAACCATCACTTTTTGCCAGCATGCAGTTCCGACTGCACAGCTTACAAAGGTCAGTTACTTGACGGCTCAAAAGGTCAGCCTTGCATTATATAGCCGGGACGGCGGGAGCGGGCGGGCTGTTACAAGACACGACCAAACGGAGTCATGCAGGTAGCGCTCCCTCTGGGCCTGCTCGGCCTGCTGGCGGTGCTGGCTGCCAGCGCCGGCGTTCCGCCTCCTCCGCCACCTCTGCTGCAGCCTGACTCGAGTAGGTACTGGGTGTACAATCCTCGGCACCGGGTATGCCAGGTACTGTCTCCGACATTGGGAACGCAGCGTGCCGCCTCAGGCGCTGGACAAGCCGCATATCACCCCTGGCTTTGGGCAAGTAACGTTTCGCCTTAGGCGCCGTGTAAGAAAGTTTCATAGTTCGAGCCAGACTTATTCGGCGTGCGGCCTCACTCGTTATGACAGAGGCAAGCTAAAACAATATTTGTTTACTTTTGTGATTGTAAAATTCTCAAGGAACATGCGTTTCAATTTCAAACTGCTGTAAGCCTTAATGAATGCATAAACGTCTAAATACGTGGCCCAGGGGGAACAGCCCTGTCGACCTGTCCTCGATTTATGCCGAAATGGTATAACGAAATGAGTAGTCATCACAGTGTAAACAATCAAAGTATCTGCTCTTGCATTCTGTAACCAGCATCCATTTCTGCCAACATTTTTGTGATGATTATTTGGAGTTTTAGGGCGCACCGACGGTAAATGGTCATGCAGTGCCATCTCGCAACATTTTAAAAATTTATGTTCTATAGAGATGTAGTGCATCGACGCGAACTCACCAAGTGCATTTTCGTAAAATCATGCCACTTTTGCTCGCGATATCAAGAGAGGAAGAACGAGAAAAACACCAGCATACGGGAATGCTCTTTGTGTTATAGGTACGTGAAACATGAAAGTGGTACCTGAAATTAGACGTCATCATCTTCGCAAATACGATTAGGAGGTGGTTAGACGGGTCGCACCCGTTAACTAGCCTTTCCGATGTTCGCAATGTAGATCTTTGACCTTGGATGACTTCAGATGGTCTTGTATGTCCCCATATGCTCTACTGTGACCTTAATATGCATAACATGATATCACAGCTTATTCGCATTGAAGTATTCTAATTATGCGACCAAAATTACCTCATCAAAGTGCCTTTTGAGCTCAGAATGTGTTTTGCAGCAGTACCCATAGAGATAGGTCTTGACCTGGCCCAAGGTTATGTGTTTTGTGGTCATATAATGGTTGCATATGTATGTCAGCGCTCTTATTACATATTCAGACACCAAATATACAGATATGCGTAGAAATTTGCATTAGTAACGAAGAATAACAAATATTGACCTACGTTCAGGTCACCGATCTCGCATTTTCCAAAAAATATAGGATACAAATTGTAGACACTATGATGTTGTATTCCTATTACAGGTTTGAACTATGGCAAATTACCCACAGAACAGTTATGTGTGATAAAAAAATATTTTACGGGTTCACCTCTTTGACATCACCCAGGTCACTGTTCTTAGTAGATTAAAGCGTCAGGTTTGCTAAAAGAATGCCAAAGTGAGAGGTAAATAGGTACTGACAATTTCGTGTTGCTGTGATTGTTCGTTTTTAGCCTGCGCTCGAAAAACCGTAAGGGGAACTTCCCCTACTCTCCCTTTTCTCCCCCCCCCCCCCCCCACACAGGTTCACACTCCAGAAAGCTGGTGCAGGAATAGGGATAAATGTTAAATGTGTTGATAAATGACCATTTATTATCGGAAATGAAGTGACAAGAAATTTACAATGTGCGTGGACAGTCTGCTCGCCATTCTCAGATTCTGGATCACTTACAAGGGTAAAATGTCATCCAATCCGACTTTCGCATCCCCCTCAACCACTGGCGTTCTTCCAGTGCCGGGTCACAAGCCGGGGCGCTGTCCGGAAACTGGACGTTGGCGTGGTCGGGGAAAGCCCTGCACACAGAAGACAGACAAATGCCAGCAGGATCTGGACTGCAGGGGCCCCAGGAAGTGTTGCCCGCGCACCTGTGGGCTTCGCTGCACCCGGCCCCGCCCCGTCTGTACGCCCAGCTGCCCGAAGGGGCTGAGGTGCAGATGGAGGGGGGCCAAGTGCGGGGCACTGGGCTGTCCTCGCGTGCCCACCTGTGTCAAGCGCAGGCCCCGGCCCGTCTGTGTGCCCAGCTGCCCGAAGGGGCTGAGGTGCAGATGGAGGAGGGCTAAGTGCGGCGCATCGGTCTGTCCGCGCGTGCCCACCTGCGTCAAGCGCAGAAAACGGCCGAGGGCCCGGCCCGTCTGTGCGCCCAGCTGCCCGAAGGGGCTGAGGTGCAGATGGAGGAGGGCCAAGTGCGGGGCACTGGGCTGTCCTCGCGTGCCCACCTGTGTCAAGCGCAGGCCGAGGACCCGGCCCGTCTGTGTGCCCAGCTGTGAGAAGGGGCTAAGGTGCAGATGGAGGAGGGCCAAGTGCGGGGCACTGGTCTGTCCTCGCGTGCCCACCTGTGTCAAGCGCAGGCCGAGGCCCCGGCCCGTCTGTGCGCCCAGCTGTGAGAAGGGGCTAAGGTGCAGGTGGAGGAGGGCCAAGTGCGGGGCACTGGTCTGTCCGCGCGTGCCCACCTGTGTCAAGCGCAGGCTGAGGGGCCGGCCCGTCTGTGTGCCCAGTTGCCCGAAGGGGCTAAGGTGCAGATGGAGGAGGGCCAAGTGCGGAGCACTGATCTGCCCTCGCGTGCCCACCTGTGTCAAGCGCAGGCCCCGGCCCGTCTGTGCGCCCAGCTGCGAGAAGGGGCTAAGGTGCAGATGGAGGAGGGCCAAGTGCGGGGCACTGGTCTGTCCGCGCGTGCCCACCTGTGTCAAGCGCAGGCTGAGGGCCCGGCCCGTCTGTGTGCCCAGCTGCCCAAAGGGGCTGAGGTGCAGATGGAGGAGGGCCAAGTGCGGGGCACTGGTCTGTCCGCGCGTGCCCACCTGTGTCAAGCACAGGCTGAGGGGCCGGCCCGTCTGTGTGCCCAGTTGCCCGAAGGGACTGAGGTGCAGATGGAGGAGGGCCAAGTGTGGCGCGGCCAAATGCCCCCGTGCCCCCACTTGCGTCAAGAGCAGGGGCAGATGGCGCAGGCCCACGTGTACCCCCAGCTGCGCGCAGGGTGAAAGATGCCGCTGGAGGAAGGCCAAGTGTGGCGCGGCCAAATGCCGTCGTGCCCCCACCTGTGTCAAGCGGCGACGCGATTGGAAGCACTAGCTCCAGCTGGCAGCAGAGGAAGGAGCAACAGCAGGGGACCACGGTAACAGGGTTCCGCGCTCGTGCCAACCCACTTACATGTGCGGCTTGCTCCAGTCCAGACCACCAACGCGATGCAGGCGATTCGAAATGCGCATCTTCCCTGGCGACACACCGCTAAGTAACATGCCGGAAGCCTTTGGAAAACAGCGGGGCGGTAAACCCGTGCTGTCACGCAGCAATTCGCCATGTATCAATTCGCCATGCATCTGCCGCAACAACCATCATTTGCATGGTCGCTGCAGTTGTCCGGCATGTGGGATGCTATGTTTGGCGGTATATTCGGTGTGCACCCTGAGGTCACGAAGGCGGCTGGGTCTGCGCCGTTCAACCTAATGCTTAGCTAGATCGGATGACAGCCAGCTGACGGGACATCTCGACGCACGTGCCATGCTTAAATGTCGTTTTGTTAGCCTTAACGTCCGTGTCTATTTTGTTAGACTCTTGTATGTGATGGTCGGCTGCGATGAGCAGAGTGAAAAAATGGAGATGACATTTAGTAGTCTTTGCTCATAACACGGTGGGCAAAAAGCAGACGAGAAGGATTCAAACAGTGGTTATGTATTCCGCTTGCGCCTTTATCAGAACCTGAACAGAAATGGTACAGAAACGCGACCTTGCTTCGCCCGACGTTTACTTGATCCAGCTGGTTTGTGAGGAATAAAGGGTCGTTGATGAAAATGTTTGCGTGGCAAGGGGTCATGCTTTCAGAAACGTTAGGCACTCAGCGAAACGAAACAGCTTACATAACACAACCCGCGATCGAAATGACGCATCTGACACGCATTGCATGTCATCAGAGCATCAGCCTACCCAAGCGCGTCAGTGTGCATAATGGGCCAGTGTAATGGTCCTGAGTATGGGTGATGAGACAGCGGGTGGACGGCGCTGCAACGCCCTATTGCAACCGCCATCACATATACCAACACGGTGCGCTGTACTGCACACTGGCTCAAGCCCAACGACGGTGACATCGTTTTAACAAAATTAACACCCAGTTGAAAATAAGTGCTCTAAATGTATGCAGAGCAAACTGAGGAAGTGGGTATCAGCGTGCAAATCAGGTCATCCGTTGATTGACAAGCTACTGCCCCTCCCTCCGTCCGCCCCGCCCCCGTCCGCCGGTTCAGAACGGCTGATCGCCGAACTGACTGACATGAAGGCCATTCGTTGACGTGCATTGTCATGCTGCCGATGCAAGAGCTCCAGAGCTCTCAGCCCCAAGGTTTTGACCCTAGGAGGGTCAGTGAAATAATGGACCTGTGTGATTCGTCAGCCAGGATCCAGCGGGCCAAGAGAAGTAACCACAGGCATGCAGCTAAGGCCCCGGTGACAGCGCGTACTGTAAGATCCGGTGGACGAGGCAAATGGGCAGCAGTGCAGGGTCGGCAGCGATGAGGAGGGAGGATACAACAGCTTAATAACACTGATAGCTCACAGCGGCTGGAGCAGGGACATCAGGGACATCAGGGACATCAGGGGCATCAGGGGCATCAGGGACATCGACGGGGGAGGGAGGCATGCATTCGCCTCACCCCAGTCGCAGTCGGATTCGAGATCAGCCTCACTGGCCTGGAGTGACTCGATCGACTCCTTTGCAATCGATTCAGGAATTTATTTATATCTCCTCGGCTCGGAATGCAGCCGGTTGAAACCTGTCCCACGCTTCTCGGGGTCGGAGAAAGATTTAGCACCACATGGTGTGCATCAGAGTCAAAGAATGCTTCACTATCACAGGATCGAGAACAAGTTAGGTTAGGAGAAGAAGAAAGATGAGGAGGAGGATCATGAGCATGGGCAGTGAGGCACGCCGCTGCAACAGGGGTGACGTCAGGAGACCGCCCGACCTATCCGCCGCCGTCGATGACTGAAGATCCGGATTGGATCGGGACCGACTCGGCCCTGACCAGAGCGGCAAACGACCCGGGTCAGCGGTCACGGCTCGGCCAGGTATCTCATCTGACCAGGTCCACGCGAGAGCTTCACTAGTTGCCGACAGACCTCGACAGCCGACAGGTGAGAGAGACGTGGGGCCGCGGAACCGCTGTGATGACCTTTATAAGCCCCTCCCGACGAGTCCGGCCAAAAATGGCTGCCGTAACGCGAGGAGTTTGAGGCTAGTTTCACCGAAACGAGTGAGTGACAAGTTAACTTTTCGCATTCACTGCATACTTGTGCACTTCGTGAGGTGCAAAAATGATTCATTGAAACTGGATGGATGGATTGTGCAGCTTTCACAGCTCATTTTCGGCTGCTGAGCGCATCTGATTATCAGTCATCGCTGTTCAGGCTGGTGCGTTGTGTCGCTTTTCCGCGGAGACATTTATGCATGTTTACATTTTGTCATCTTCCACTCTTTCTACCTCATCCTCAATTCAAGCTGTATGAAAATCGCCATGGACAGCGTAAAAGTAAGGGTTTAGTTGCTGTACGCCCCCTTGTACGTTCTTGCAGCAGCTCCGTGCTCAGCTGCGGGTGGCGCTGTGACGCTGCGGTTGAGGCCAAGGTCACGCCCTCAGCGGTGATACCCTGGCTCGGGCCCCGGGGGTTGTGTCGGCGCAGCTGTGGTGTAGAATATAGTGTCTCCTCATGAGATATCGTTATCGATACCAACCAGTCCGACAAAGCCCTCACATAAATAGCATGTAAGAAACCCAACACAGGCGCCGTGAGCCACCAGTCCAGTATCGTGCGTAGCATTTCGCACATCCGAGCCCCATGTTCTCGGGCTGGTACACGGCGCTCGTCATGAAAGGCTACGGTCGATTCGTAACTAGCAACCGAAGGAAACCGTGAAATGGGTGGAGATACACCGTGCACTGCCAGCTACGGCCGTCTCGTGGAATAGTGCTGTCAGAAATGGTTGCCAGATGGCAGTGCCGGCAAGGACACGCAAACCGATAAATTGTATTCAGTGCAGTTCAATTGACACAGTTGCCTGTGTGCGGTAAAGATTAAGTCACCAAAGAATGCAGATGGCGGTCGAGTGGTTTCACTGAGCAATATACCACCATTACTGGAAAATCATGTCAATTCACGTCCTGGTGCAGACCTAAGAGATGCTGTCAATGGTGTTACCAGCGCGGTCTGCACACGTGGGCAGGCCAACCGGATCGTCGGAGCCGATGTAACGAAAACCGTCCGTGTGGAGAGCTGCAGCCTCCCAGTCCTAATGAGGCTGCTGAGTTACAGGCCTGAAACGACAGGCCACCACCAGCCTCGTTGGATACGCTGACGCTGCCGCGCCGCTGCGCCGAGGAGGGCCTGACGTACCGCCGCTCCGAACTCCATGCTATGCATCCTGTCCAGACCTCCACAGATGCTGCGATGAGATGGTCTCCAAGGGTGATTCTGTAATCGCCACGTCCCAGGTGTGTGCTTGAGCCCGTCAGCTGTCCCTGCTTCATCACAGAAGCAGCGACTGCTGGCCCGGGACCGATAAACCAGACCCCCGCCACCCCTTCCGCAATATTTCGGTTGTCGGCTTTTATCTCTCCACGGTTTATGGGGCGCCAGACGCAACCAATGGCAAAGATCATGACTGAAATCGTGTGCACATGTCAATGTGCAATGCTTGGTTAAGGTGGTCGTTGCTTTATTCCGGCATACCGACTGCACCCATTTCCTTGCTGTGTCGCGCAATGCAAGGACAGTGGAAAGGCCAGGGAAGGGAGGGGCAGGCTGTGGAGGCTGCAGCCCATTGTCTATGGAAAGTCCAACGTCATCGCAATGACAGCGCGGAAATTGCTAGACAAGGGTCGCGTTGATTGTCCCTACCCAGCACCCAAACAGTATCGGTCATCACAGGCTCCACGGGCTTCTTTTGGCGATCATGTTGTACACAACAAATCCCCGTCTATTAAATACCCGTTCCATGATGACGGAGGCTCTCATGCCTCACAAGGCGGCAGGCGCTGCTCCATCTGAACAGATGCCACGACCCTTCATAAGCAGTCTGCATACCAACAACCGCAGAACGGAAAACTTGAGATGACCGTGATCGATGCTCGCCCGCCGCAGCTCTGCGCCCCGTGGCGCCGAACCACAGACGCTGCCGGAGTGGCACCCGGCGTCACCTCACGTCCTCGCGTTTCAGGAGACTGCAGAGGCGGTCGCCGGCATCCCGTGCCCCTCGCTGGCGGACCTGAACTCGTCGTGACGTCATTCGGGGCACGGATCCCGTCGTGACGTCATGCCGACGTCATCATGCCGAGAGCGCTGGCATACGCCGCCGAGAACGGCTGAAATTGGCCGGCCGGCCGCGCGGACAGGGACGGGCATGTGACCCGGCCAAAAAATGGTTTGGACAATGAGGTTATGGTGCCGAGCGGACATACAGCGCCCGACCTACAGACCATCTTACACTACACAGAGACGCGTGGACTGACTTACAGACTATCTTACACTGCGCATAGACGCGTCGCCCGACTTACAGACCATCTTACGCCATACAGACATGGATCGCCAGACTTACAGACCATCCTACACCGCACAGAGATGCGTCACCCGACTTACAGACCATCTTACACCGCGCGGAGACGCAACGCCCGACGTACAGACCATCTTACACTACACAGAGACGCGTCGACTGACTTGCATACCATCCTACACTGCACAGGGACACTTCGGCTGATTTACAGACTATCCTATACTGCACAGAGACGTGCTGCCTGATTTACAAACCATCCTACACCGCACAGAGACGTGCTGCCCGACTTACAGACCATCTTACACCCCACAGAGGCGTATCACCCGACTAACAGACCATCTTACGCCATACAGACATGGTTCGCCAGACTTGCAGACCATCCTACACCGCACAGAGATACGTTGCCCGACTTACAGACCAGCTCGCACCGTACCGGGACTTACCGCTCGACCTTCAGGACATCCCGCGTCGCACAGACACACAGAGGGCACTACTTGCGAGACCACCTATGGTCACTCAACAGTGTGACGTACCAAAGCGTATCAGCAGGTTAAACAACTACGAGAATGGCTGGATCGAAGGTTTTAGGGGCACTTACTTTCAATCGAGGATCTCGAATACCAGTTCTCGAACGGTGTATTAGGACGACTTACCTGGAAAGAAACACAAGTGAGTTAATCAAACCTATTTTGCGATGGAAACACATGACGGTAGTGCTTCTGAGACAGTGGTTCGTATACAGTCGCGTTAGACAAGTAGACCGGTGCAATGCAGCGAGTGATGTTTTACATTCTTGCGGTACACTGTGTGTTGGGCGGCTGAATATCACCTTGGGAGACATTCTTTTGTAGCGTGCATAAGCGTCTGATACACTCACAGCAGATTTCTACCTGCCTAGCGTGATAGAATGATGACGACCTCGCACATGACAGTTGTTCCGCCAGTTGACCAAATATTAATATTCTACGACCATAGCCTCTATTCACCGGCATCTTACGCAGCACTTCCACCAACATCCACTCCTCGTAACATCATCCATACGCACAACCGACCGCAGCAGAAGTATGTCCTTGAGCGGGGCTTGGAACCTTCTGAGCCTACTCAGCAGCCAGTGAGTGACCTTAGGTTGTGCCCTCGAACAAAAGCGATCGCTATCACAGGGTACCGAAACATGGTGCCCATGGTACACCCGGTACCAAAATAATGTGATGTGATGTGATAGTCAAGCAATGAAAAGCATGCACGA